GTAGCAGCCCAAGGAGAGGATGAGTTTTTTTTTATTTTGCAAAAAGGAAAGAATGAACAAATGTGAATCAGACGTGTTTCCATCAACTTGCTTGAAGCGAATCATTTACGTCAGACGAATGCGTGTAGTAAACAGGAAGTGAAAGTCGCATCTTAGGACCATGGAGAGAAGTTATCAGGAATGTGTTGCTACTATATGGAAAGTTGTAATTATTCTGTCATATCAACTAGTTCTGGCGATGCTACCTGCTGTCTGGAGATGTAGAGAAAGAAATGCAATTCTCTTCACGTTACGGGAATAACTGAGAAGACGCTGACAGCAGGAGGAGGGTCCTGCTGCCAGTCGCGGCTGCAGTCACTACCGGTTCCGGTACCGGTTTKGGACAGACTGCGAGAACAGCTGATCAACATGTGAGGTAAATGTTTGCTACATCAGAACTGATTTTTTTTTTCGGAAAAAACCAAAAACCACCTCAAGCAAGCGTATCAACTTTTAAGTGAATTAGAGGAAGTTTTCTTGAATCATGCCATTTCCATTTACCTTTTCTGATGCAATACTCCAAAATGTGCATTAAAAAAACCTTGATGGAAACACGACTACTGAATTCGCCTGCACCGACAGTCGCCTCGCTGCGTGACCGAGACATGTTCCGCGCTCCTCCCGCTGCAGGCAGGGTGCTCGCTCGGCAGTCGACCGGACGACGTGCCGTCACGTAAATATGTAAACAGTTTGGCGTTCATTTTTGCACACCCGAACCAGGTTCAGTGAATTTGTTTTGCAACTTTTTGCTCTTCATTTGCGRTCTCAGCCATTCTGCTTCACGCTTCCTCTGTTTTGACTCCAGCCGGTTACGTCATCAAAAAGAATTACTGCGGTTGGCCGGTAGACTACAGATCTCTATCATAGGCCAAATTTATATCATTTATATTGCGCATTCCTACTACACACTGGTTGTTATTAGTTMGCATACATTGTTCACGCAATGCTAAAATTTCACTTGTCAACACTGATTCTAAAGTCACATTCTTTGTTTGGATTGTTTGTTGCTACATGCTTTTGTTTTAAGAACTTTGATTTTAGTGTCACAAAGTAGTGCTGGGCGGTATACCGTTTTGTACCGAATACCGGTTTTTATTTTTGTTATGATATGAATTTTTTGAATACCGGATCCAGTTTAAATAGTGGAACTTTTCGTCGCGGCCGCCAGTGAACTGTTGTTTCCCGGGGGACATTTTTCCTTGCTGCACCGCTAGGTGCGTTAGCATGCTAATGTTTGGAGCAGCTAGTTGCAGCKGRGGGTGGCGATTCCYCTGCTTATATTGACTGACGTTTAAAAAAACATCCCGTTTTCGTCGTCGCTGAATGTAGTAAACATCTCTTCAGTGACGTGCATGGTTAGATTTAACGCAGTTAGTTAATATGGAGACACAGAGGAGGGAAACAGTGACACAGAGAGAGGTACAATAAAAGAAAAAAGTCAATAAGCAGGGTTTGTACAGTTTATTATCAGCTGAGCTGTGATGAAAAGAAAAATACKYTCAAATACRGTGAAACCGGTGAAAATGTTGAAAATACCGTGATATAAAATTTTGATCATATCGCCCAGCTCTATCACAAAGACAACAGATGCAGAAAATATCACATATTTGTTCCCAAACCTTTGAAATTGTCACTTAAATAATTAAAGACCTGTCATTCCTTGAGGAAATTTATATTGTTCACCCCCTTTTATTCCAAAGTTTTAGACTAAAGTCATATTGTGTTAAGAAAATGAGTTGTAATCATTTTGGTCTAACCTTGAAAATACCATTATGCACTTTCATGCATATTTCATTCACTTTCTTTTATGCACCATTATATGTATCATGAAATGTTATGGTCAGAGTACTGTATGTGTTTTGAATGAATTTCAGCTACTACCACACATTTTTAGTTCAGTATTTGTAAAATTCATTGAGTTGTAGGGTYTATTKACACCAGGAAAGTCCTTTGGTCCACTTGTTTGGTSCAGACAAAATAACGAGCTTTATGTTTTCCTTTGGTGCGCTTTGCATGCACATTGTGCTTTTTGCAAGTACACAATAAGTTATAAACAAAGCCACACAGGTGACATTCATTACTCCCACTGGACAGAAATGAGCACAGACCCAGAAACAAAGATGGTTCTCAGGATTTCCCTCAGAAAACCAGCTAAGCCTGGTGGTAGGGCCGCTTTGGCAGGTCACCAGCGGCCCTACCATGTTTTTGTTAAAAAATGTTAAAGTTGACAGGAAATTTTAAAATATGACGTATCGTAATTATGTGTTATTGTAAGACATTGTTGACAATACTTAAACGCCCACTTTAAGCTGGCAGTTATTTAAAACTTACTGCATATTAAAATATTGTATTATTAATTTTAAATGAATAAAAACCAAAAATGGAATTTGTTTTTTGAGGATTACTAAGGAAAAAAATCACAACAAATGTACATAATGGGATTATTTGGCATCAAAAATATGAAATTTAGACAGTATGTAAACTACTGTACNCATCATGACATGCAGGGAGCAGGCTTTGTAATAGACTTGCTTCTGTTTCTACAGTCTCCATGGCATTTGGGAGCTCCAGGAAAGATGGACCAGACCTTGTTCTGAAAAGCCTCTCAACTTTCTGGATCACACTGAAGGCCTCATGCGATGGCCGACACAGCACGCCTGGTTTAAACTCCTTCAGTGTCAGCAGGGTACTGTGCTCTCCTTCCAGACTGTCATCATTTTGCTTAATTGAACTTGAGCATTTGTCACAGATGTTGGAATGCTTGATGACTTTATTTACTATGTATCCTGTAAGATGGTACAGAATACAGGTTTCACTGTTGGTGAGATCAGGAGTACCTGTGTTTCCAATCAGCTGCTCCACACTGAGGCCAGGACTGGGATATGTCTCCTTAATGTCCAGGAACTCTGCCAGAAGACTGCCGTCATCCTCCTCATAGCTTCCTGATTGGGCAGTTGTAAGAAACTGCCCAACAGAGACTGATTTCAGTGCCTGGTGGAACTCCACTGGTGTTGGGACAGGGTTCCTTTGCCTTATGCAGCTGAACAAGTTTTCAAGACAGTCCTGGGTAAACCTGCTTGTCAACACAAACTCATGTCCATGGTCAAGCATGTCTTCTTGAATAGACAAAACTG